CCAAGGAATGAAGAAATTGAAGAGATCAGCATCGATTGAAAATTTAAAAAATGTGAATTAAAGTGTGTTGAAGAACTGAAAGATCATGTTCAATCAATCTTATACTTGGAAGTTGAAACTTGAAGTATGAAGCGAATATTAATCCTTTTCTTGTAAAAAATTATCTTGAGATTGCAAACAATATAAGTCTATGCAAATTTTTCACCTACCGTCCAAAATAAGAAAGAGTAGGAGAGGCAAATGAAGTGATTAATAGTAAATATTTCCTCCATTAAAAAAAGTAAGACATTTTTAACAGAATCTCATCTCCTAATAAAATTACTACTTACTTTTAAACTAACTCTATCTTTTTATATTTATCTCTCTTAAACACCCTATAATAAATATAAAGTCATTCATCAACAGAAGCACTTAAAAAAATATAATGATTATATCTCAAAAAATTAAAAATATCTTATATTTTTAAATATTTATTTTTTTTAAAAAATATTTTATATTTTTAAATGAAAAATAAATACACACAAAAAAAGGGATTCTTAGGATTCTTCGGCCTCAAATGTGTATTGTAGCTTTATAGGAGGAGGTAGGGTATACCCCGCGAAGACCGCCTCACTTTCTATGTCTTCAACTACTGACATTATTTCAGTGTGTGTGAGTGGGGTTTGGTAAAGCAGCTGATCACGGAAATTTTGGTGTCCCAAATACTAATATATATTCGTTTTTCATAGCCACCGCTCTCATACATAAAGTATCAATACATTGAACCAACTGAATTATTTACTCATTAGTTATATAAAATTAATTTCTTTTCTTTTGTAAATACTTCACCTCATATCCTCTCACATATGTCAAATATTACCTATGTTACTGCATGCGAGTCGAAAGAAGTATAGAGAGAAATAAAAAAAAGCCGAAAAAAAAGTCATGATCTGTTGATCTGTAAAGCTTATAATATATAAATAAAAATAGTGTTCTAATAATGACTGATATAGGGTTAATACACAACGTACGTTATAAACTATTGTATGAATAGCATTTTAAATCCTAACATAGTAAAATGTGTATCCTTCACTTCTAAGTTTTTAACACTTGAAACCTCATCGTTAAGTAGTTAAAAAAAAAAAACAGTTACTTTTTAAATTATAGAGTCCACTCACACATTAGTAAAGTGAAGAGAAATGAGTGTTACATCAACATATGATTGTGAGAAGTTTACTTAACATTGATGTTTTAGATGTTTGAGATTTAAAGGTTGAGAGAAAATTTTGTACATTTCAATTTAGGGGATATATCACTCATTAACCTACTAATAATATATATACAAAATATTTCTTAAATTTTAATAAATAATATATCATAGCAATATCTATAATTCTCAACCGAATCCCATGTAATAATATATCGTAACATGACTTGTACGTATTCCTTCCAGGTTCCAGCCAACTTCATGAATAAGTTGAGGAATATGATAGAATATGCTACTCAAAAGGGAAAAGAAAAAAGAAGCGATGCATGTATGATGTATTCATGTGGGGTGCATGTGAGGTATATCTTCTTTAAAGCATGGCCTATTCTTTCCAGAGAATTTATTCTGCATTTTAATTTTTTTTTTACCTTTTTCAATTTATTTTTTCAAAGACCCTCACTATTAGTAGAAATTTAACAAAAAAGAAAGCTTTTGTACTTGACATGCATTGGCTATATATGAGGTCAGTCCATTGATTCATATGCCATTTGTGATCTAATAATAATATATAATTATATATGCAGCCAAAATTTACTCACATATATTTTTCCCTTCTTGATTCGTGCACATCTTTTTTAAGGCCATATTCCTTCGAATCACATTCCCAAAAATTTCCCCTTCTCCATCGACAATTCTTCTAGAAAGTTCTCTCTTTACACACGCCCGCACATAAATAATTGTGTGACAAAATATCAGAAACTCTCAAGTTATATCTTGTTTTTTATAAATAACATTACACATTTCAATAAGTATTTATCATAACATTTTTTTCTTCCAGAATTACGTCTCATAAAATCAAAGTTTTAATTCACAAGATAAAATATTAATACAGACTTGCTTGATTAGCATAGAGTATTTTAGTTCAATTTTTTATTTTTAAATATAATTATTATAATTAACTAATTTTTTAAAATTGTGGTAGTTAGTTATTTTTTATATTAAAAAAAAAAATAAAAGAAATATCTCATGGTCTAACAATAGTTATATTAAACTAAAAATATTTTCATGATAACCAACAAACATCCTATAAAAAAAATTATTACTTAAGAAATTATGGGTTGGAATTTATGTCAACGTAAACAACATCTTTTAAAAAGTTACTTTCATTTACGCTCGAAGAAATTCTTAAATAAATTAGATATATCACATTATTTATAATCTATTTAATAAAAATATGATATTTAGATGTCATTAAATATAAATTAATTCTAACATTAATGATAATAGAGAAAGAAAATATAAAAAATAAATATACATTTTGTTGTAAGAACAAAATCAATTAAAATAATGTCACATAAAATTTTACTTAGATAACTTAGGGCATTCTAATTAGATAGATCATAAATGATATGGTGCACTTAATTTATTTAATAATTTCTCTTAAACTTGATAATACTTGAATTTGACTTTGCCAAATACGTATATAAAAAACATTTTTACAATAAACAATAATTTAACAAAAAAATTAGTAATTGTAATGAAAGCTACCTGCCTAATTAAATATAATATGATTTGCACTTTCTCAGTCCTCTTTATAAGTCATTTTTATTAATTTTATCAATATCAATGCAAAAAAATAGAAGGAATAAAAGTGTGTATAATTTCAAACATACTCCTATATACTAAATCTAAAAAATAATATCATGTTACTTTTTTTTAATGAAAGATAATTTTAAAAATATTTTTAAATATTACTTAAAAAGTCACACTATAATTTATAAATAGCATCAAATGATTTTTTTAAAATGTAATTTAGATGTGGGAGTGGAGAGAGTACTCCCTCCGTTCAAAAATATAAAATATTTTTTTAAAGAGTTGGATATTTAAAAATGTAAGGCATTTTTAATTTTTTGAGATGTAATTATTGCTTTTTTTTAAAAGTGTCTCTATTGATAATGGTTTTATATTTACTGTAGGGTGTTTAATAGAAATAAATATAAAAATATAAGATTAGTTGAAAAATAATTAATTATTTTATTAAAAGATAAAATTAAAAATATTTTATACCTTTAAATGAATGGAGTAAAATAAAGCCTCGAAGAAAAAAAAGTGAAACAGGAAAAAACACTCCGTTTACTCAGCCACCATTCACGGTATATGCATGCATGTGTGTGTGTGTGTGGAGCATCAGTTACTGATTAAAGTTGCTGATTTGTATTTGTCATTCAGAATTCAGAGTATAGTCATGGCTATGGCTTCCCACAGGATGATCTGACTGACCATCTCCCTGCCATAGTACGTACGTACTTGATATAATATATGTGTAAGGAAGAGGTTTTATATCTATCTCTATGTCTATACGTGTAAGTTGCAATCAAAACAAAGACATAGTAACAGTTGTGTATATATATATTATATTGGATTACAGCTAGCTGGTAATATAATAAAAGTAATTTGGTTATTCCTTGAAATGACTTCTGAGATATTAAAACATAATGCATCAGAGCAATAGAAGCGAGATAAATTTATCATGACAAGACCTATTTTTGTGAAACCAAAAATAGCAAAATGAACTAGAAGTGCTACTAGATTTGGATACTTTCATTATCTTTTCTTTCAATTTCTTTTCCTCATCACATCCTCAACGCTCGATTAAAAATTTAAACAATAAAAATTTAATTTTTTTTATAATATTATTATAATAAAACATAAAATAAATCTAAAATACTAAAATCTAATTTGAATAGTTCACAATTGTAAACTAATTGTAGATTGTAATTAAAATTAAAATAAATAGATAAATTTGATTAAATCTTAACCATTGAATTTTCAATCTGAAGATAGATGATGAGAAGAGAAGGAGAAACAAAGATAATGAAAGAACCTAAATAATATGTGTCTACCTCTCTCCCTCCCTTACCTTGATTTATTTACTTTATAAATGCTATAATATTTTACCAACAAAAATAAATCCATTTAATAAAGATTTGATTCAAAATCCCATAAAACTGTAGATTAAAATCTTGTTAGAAATTTATTAGTAAGTGGTCTGTAAATACTGTTTAAACCTAAAACATGGCCTACTCTTGATAAATATTTGGGACTCAACTCGCTTGAACCTCTTATTATATCTAAAAAAAAAAACAGTGAAAAGAGATAGAAAGAAAGAAAGGCCGCAAGATTTTTACAACTCAAAGGATTCATTTTCTTAGGTGATGGAAGGGGGTGGGATAAAGGGAAAAGTGGGGAAAAGAGAGAGAGGGGTTAATATTGATAGTGAAGAAACTCGGAAGCTTTATGGTTATCTTCTTTTTGTAAAGAAGAAAGGGCCAAAGAAAGAATGATAATAATAACGATAATGAAGTAGTGGGTTGGGCGCCACGACATAAATTTATCATTGTGGTTGGTCCCTTTCATATGTAGAAATTAATATTATTTAATAGAGGAGATTAAGGAATAATGATTACCCACTCATGGTTTGCTATAAGGTCATGTATGGTCAACATCTTCCTTCTGTTCGTAATCCATTACTTTGACTGATCATTCTCTTTCTGTAAAACTTCATCACCTTTTCAGTACTGGTTTATGTTTTTTCCCCCCGGTAGTACTGGTTTATGTTTAGTAACAACCAAGAAAGTTTCTGTATACACAAGTCAAGTTTTTTTTTTTTTTTGAAAAAGATATATAATAAAATTTTTGGGGTAAAAGATTAAAATTAAGTCATAAAATATAAACTTTAAAATATTCAGAATTCTAAACTCATTTTTTGTGTATTATTTTTCTTTGACTTTTAAAAACAGTACAATTTAATATATTATTTTTTTTCAAAAAAAACCAATTTTATTTATCTCCAAAAAATTATTACAAACATTAATAATCAAAGCCAAAAAACACTCAAAAAAAAAACCTAAAATACAACCTAACACTTAACTTACAAAACAAAAAAAAAAAAACCAACCAAAAACAGTAACATAACTGTTCAATCTAAAAAACTAAAACAACATATTAACCAATTCCCTCTTTATTATGAGAGAAACCAGCAGAAGCAAAAGAAAAATGATGACAATTATAAGCTTCCAAATCAACAAATAACAACCTAAACAAAAATGATGTAGCTACAGAAAGCCATTCCATTGAACACATTTTCTTAGAGCCTATCACTGCTAAGAAGTTAGCAGCTTCATTACCTTGGTGAGCCACCAAAGAGAAACCAACATCTTTGCATGATTCTTTAGCTGTAATAATATCCTGCACAATATCAAAACATCTTCAATTATAATCAGAATTAAGATTCCCTATTAACATTCAAAATAGAATTTCACAATCCATTTCCACAAAAACCTTTTGATCAGGGTAACATTGGGCCACTCTCAAACCTTCCAAAACAACCAAATATTTGGCCTTGATAGCAGATTCAACAACAATATTCTTCCCACAACCACCCAAAAAATTTCCAAATTCATCTATGCAAACAAGACCAATACCAGAAGATTTCAAGACACTATTAAAAGAACCATCAACATTAATCTTAACACCCCCTGGTAAAGGTCTCCTCCAATACAAGCTTCTATCAACTGCCTCTATATGTATGACCTGTCTCTTCAATTTACTATGAGATTTCAGCATTTTACATTTATTCACAATCCTAGAAGCATTCATAATAACCTTCTCAACATTCACCCTTTCCCTATCAAATACCCAATTGCATCTACTCTTCCAAATCTCCCAACAAATTGAAGCAACAAGAGCTCTTTCAATAGCCCCAAACACATTATTATCACAAAACACATTGGCCAACCAATCAGAAACAGAAGAAATATTAATATCAAATATTAATATTTCCAAACTATAACCAAACCAGTAAGATCTTACCTAATGACAGTGGAAAAGCAAATGTTCAGTTGAATTTTCCTCTTTCAAGCAGATCAGGCATAAGGAATAAGCAATACACTTCTTTTTAAATAAAGCAACTTTTGTAGTAATAGCATCATTCAACACCCTCCAAATCAAATGACAAATTTTAGGAGGAACTTCCAACTCCCAAACTCTATTCCATAATTTTTTAGAAGGCCTAAAAGAAGAACTAGGCCCATCTTTTACTTTCTCTTTCTCATTCTCCTCATATTCAATCTTTGTAAAATGATAACCTGACTTCACAACATACTTACCATTTCTGCAAGGCATCCAAATTAATCTATCTTTATCAATCAAAGAAGGCAACCTCAGCTTTAGAATTTCATTTTTTTTCTCATCTGAAATTAAGTGTTCAATTGAACTCAAGTCCCACTCCTTGCAAGATATCAATTTAGCCACCCTCCCCACCTTCATATCATCCCTAACACCTTCACCTTTCAATCTCAGCCCCTTTAATCTAGGAATCCATGAATCTAACCATAAGTTTGCAGACTCACCATTATTTATCTGCCAAACAAAATTTTTCTTTAACAAAACACAACCTTCAAGGATGCTACTCCAACAACAAGATGGCCTTCTTCCTTTTTTGGCCTCAAATAAAGTGTTTTTAGGAAAATATAGCCCTTTCAAAATGCTATACTAGAATTCATCAGGATTTTGAATCAAGCGTCAGGCTGTTTTTGCAAGCATAGTAGTATTAAATGCCTTAAAATCCCAAAAGCCTAAATCACCTTCATTTTTTGACTTAACAAGCAAGCTCTATCTCCTCTAATGTATCTTCCCTCCACCATCCTCTTCATTACCCCACCAAAAATAAAAAATCATTCTATCTAACTCTTTACAAGTTTTAATTGGAAATGAGAAACAAGCCATTGGATAAGTTAGAATAGCATTAGCTACAACTTTAATAAGAATTTCTCTACCTGAAAAGGTTAGTAATCTTTGCCTCCAACCCTGAATCTTCAACCCAATCTTGTTTCTCACAAAAGCAAGAGAAGCAGCCTTAGACCGCCCCTAAATCATAGGCAAACCAAGGTATTTACCTGGTTGATCTACATCAAGAATTTGAAGAATAGTAGAAATTTCTTCTCTTAAATCAGAATCAGCATTAGAGGAAAAAAATAGACAAGATTTTTCTAAAGTAATTTGCTGACCATAAACAGCATAGTATACATCTATTATTTTCTTCAAAATCACACAATTATCTTTCTCCGCTTTCATAAAAAAGAGAGAATCATCCATAAAAAATAAATGGGATAATACAGGATACCGTTTAGCCAACCTTATACCTTTCAAATCCCCTTTTTCAATATGATAAGATACCATTTGAGATAACACATCAGCAACTATAATAAAGAGAAAGGGAGAAAGAGGGTCTCCTTGCCTTACACCTTTTTGTGGCTTAAACTTGTCAATACTCTTATCAGACATTATCAATTCAAATTCTACAAAAGACACATACTTCATAATCCATTCAACCCATTTCAGATCAAAACCTATACGAATCAACATAGCATACAAGAAATCCCATTCAATATGGTCATATGCTTTACCCATATCAGCTTTCATAGCAAATTCAATAGTTTTACAATTTGTTCTACCTTTCAAATCATGAAAGGCTTCATGAGCCACAATTATATTATCATGCATTAGCTTACCAGCAATAAAACCTCTCTGCTATTGTGAAATACATCTAATCATCAACCCCTTTATTCTATTAGTGAAAATTTTTGAAATATTTTTGTAAACAACATTACAGAGACCAATAGGCCTAAACTGATTCACAGCTTCAAGTTTATCTACTTTGAGGATAAGGACAATAATTGTCATGTTAATATCATTCAACTCAATCCATCATTGAAAAACTAAAAAACCAATTTAAAAATCCTAGGTTTCACAGTAGACTAAGAAGATTGATAGAACAAACCTGTGAAGCCGTTAGGACCAGGAGCATTAGTTGCATTAAGCTGAAAAACTGCCTCCTCAATTTCTACTTCAGACATAGCCATCATTAAGGATTGATTATTAGCATCAGTAATTACTTTCCTCACATATTGCAGAGCCTCATCCATTGGTCTTGGTCCAACAGAAGAGAATAATTTTCTATAATATGCTAAAAAAATACTATTAATTTTAGTAGACTCTTCTAACCAACTCCCATTATCATCTCTCAACTTTAACACCTTATTATGAGCCCTCCTCTGTAAGACAGTGGAGTGAAAAAATTTAGTATTTGATCACCAAAGTTGATCCAATTGACTCTAGCTTTTTGCCACTAAAAAATTTCTTCCCTTCTCCAAACCTTATCAATCTGCTTTACAATTTTCTTTGCTTTTATCTTTGTGTTTTCATCCCATATGCCCTCATTACAAGCTTGCAATTTCACCATCAACTCATCAACAACCTTCTTATTATTAGGAAACACTTCTTTACTCCATTTCCTCAACTCTTTCTTACAAGAATCTTGATGAACCACAATCTCTTGCCTATTATTATCCCAAAAAACATATACTCTTTTCCAACCCTTAGAAACCACTTTCTCATAATCAGTATGTGAAACCTAGTTGGCATCAAATCGAAACATCTTTTGTGATCTTTTATTAATAAAACAACAATCAAGAAGAATGATATGATGATCTGAGCTAATCAGCTCTACATGGAAAACCATAGCCTTTTCAAATTCCTCATGAAACTTAGAATTACCAACACACCTATCCAACCTCTCCTTTACATGATCATCCCTTAATTTGCCATTATTCCATGTAAACCTTGACCTTTGAAAACCAATATATATAAGATGATAGTCAAAAAGAGTCATCTGAAAGTTCTTACCACCCTTAAAGCTCTCAATCTACCTCTTGATTTTTCAAAAATAGAAGCTAAATCATTGAAGTCTCTAATGCAACAATAAGACCCCACTACACCTCTAGCTAATGATCTTAATCTATTCCACACCGCCCTTCTCTCATGCTCAATAGGATGACTATAGACAAATGTAACAAAAGCGGGCACGGAAATAGTAGATGAATACAAATGCACATGAATTAAATTTCGAGAACTAAAGATCACATCAACATCAATAAATCCATTCCACCACAGGGCCAAACCTCCTGATCTCCCTTTAGGATTAACATAAAAATCCTTCTTTATATGACATCTCCTCCTAATTGTTTTCAACTTTTTCTCCAGCATTTTAGTCTTCATAAGAAAAATGATTGAGGGCTTGAATTTTCTATTAATCTCTTTGAGATTTTTAATTGTCAAGGCAGCCCCAAGCCTCGACAGTTCCAATATATAAGCTTCATAGCTCTATGGTGGTTGTTAAAGGCCAGCCACCCACACCTTCAACATCAATCACTTCTCTTATTCCCCTTTCCACTAAATTTCCTATCTCCTCAGAACTCATAAGCTCAAAAGGAATATTAAACAAATTTCCATCCTCAATAGCTTCTTTATTTGTTTTTGTTAAACTCTTTTTTCGACTTCTTCGAACCCTTAACTTCTCTTTACGAAGACCTTTAGCCAAAATAGAAACCACAGCCTTTTGATTCACCTCCTAACTACAAGATTTTCTTCTTTTATGCACTTCATTCCATAACTCTTCATCAGCATCTGTCTTCAAACTGACAACTTTCAATTTTTCTGTAACTGTAGTCACTTTTTCTTTTCTATAAAAGGGAACGATAGCCCTTTCTAGATTTTCAGGAACAAAACTAGCACCAATATCAAGAAAAATGTCACCTTTAGTCCTGTCAATAGTTTGCAAATTATCTTTCAATTGGGCTTCCAAACAAATTTTATTTTCAGCAAGACGACCCAAATTCTCATCAACAGGCCCAGACACAATTTTCTTTCCTTTTTTATTCTTTTCTATAGCCTCTCTAGTCGAATTACAAGATTGAGTTGACTTATCAATATCAACAGTCAACTAGTCCTTTTTGACATTAATCTCAAACTCCTTTTTCATCACATCAACCTCCAACTCATCCTGTTGAATAAACTGACCAATACTCTCTTCCTTTTCAACTAATTTTTCACCAGCCATAGATCTTGTTTCTATTTTAGAATAATTCTCAGAGGTAGAAGATAATAAAAGAGCCTTACTCCTCCATGATGAATCAAACCCTCTCTTTCTTCTAATATCTTCCACTAAAAACCAACCGTGTTCAACTTCAATAAGAGCATCCTCCCAACTTTTCACTTGTGCTAATGACAACCACGCTCCAAATTTTAGTTCATCTGATTTATATCAAAACACTGATGCACACTAGTACATGTATAAGGATCATGATCAAGATGACCACATTTAAAACAAAAATCATTTAGTTTCTTATATTTTGCAGAAATCCAAACAGGATCGTTCTCAGGTCTTTCAACCCACAAACCAAGCACAAGACATAGATGAATATTAACTAGAACACGAATATGAAGAAAACCATGCCTAGTCTTCTCACCTTTCTTAGGATCTTTCACCATCACAACTTTACCAAACTTAGATCGAAGAAAAATTGCATTTTTCACAAACATTTTTTCAAGAGGCAAATTATGAAGTTGAATCAAAAAAGGACATTCATCAAAGTTAATTTCATCAATTACTTTGAATTTACCTCTTTTTTGAAGACAAAATAACTGGCCTAAAATAGACCAAGGTATGCCTTGCAAGATCCGTTGACCTTTTTCTTCGGAATCAAAACCAAAAGTAAAAACGTTCTTCCTTATTTCTCCAATTTCAACACCATCAACCATATTCCGCGCTTTTCGAACCATCGTAACCACTGTTGCTTGATTCAAAACGTGATCCGAAGCAAATCACCTAGCTAGAATAATCTTCTTCTCCTTACAATCATCCTTTCGTTTCCATACCAGATCACTCACCTTGACCTTAAACCCCCTCTACTACTACTACTACCCCCAACCTCTGATCGACCTCCAATTGTCATATCCGATCAGCGATCTCACCCCAAAACCCCTAAACCCTCGCTCTCACATACTTACGCGGAGAGAATTTAGAGCGCCCATGTGGAGCGAATTTGTTTAATTGCATGTTAAGCAAAGAATTATTGATTAACTATTGTTAATCAAAGTTAACTTTTCCTATTGATTAACTAGGAAATTATAGAAAAAACTTTTAAAATTATAGAAAAAACCAAAACATTATAGTAAAAAATTTAAAAATTACAGACAAGACCTAAAAAAATTTCACAATCTTTCTCTATACTTTTAAAGTTTTTTTTTGTTCTTTTTTAGTAAACTAATAATTAAAGTTAATTTTTGTTAACAATAGGAGCTAAATTGCATTGTTTTCAAAAGTTGAAGAGAAATATTATATAATAAATGAGTTTAGAGTTTCAAACGCTATTAGGGGTCAATTTAATTTTTTTTTTCAATTTTTGATTCATTGAATTTCCCTCAATTATTGATTTTGTCATTAAAATTTAATCTTTATTAATCATATCCTTGAAATTTTAAGATCAAACACAATCAATCTTAGCTTGTTGATTTGAAGGGAAAATAATATTTTATAGACAAATCGTGTATGGTTATGAAATTTTAGGGATTCAGTTCAAAAAAATTAAATTTCAAGAATGAAATCAATAATTGAACCAAACTTAAAGATTCAAAGTATCATTAACCTCAAAAAACATAACGGTAATGTGATCATTTGAGTTGAACCAAGTCCATCAATTAAGGTATTAAAAGATCTTCTCTCTTCTAACAAAATGAAAAATCGTCTTTCTCTTTATCGTTAGGAATCCAAAGAAAGAAGAGCTTTTAAGTACTCTTATTTTTTTTCCCTTTCATCTGGCATCCATCAAGTACTTTAACCAGTAAAAATGAGATATAGGTCATAATTCTAAACTTTACAGCAAAATATATGTAATTTGTTTTTCTTATTTAGAAATAATTAATTAAATCTGATAAGATTTCTTTCTTATCTATCCATGGGTTCCTATATGCATTTCAGTTCTTAACAGACCTACCATGCATGCTCTAGAGTTTTTTGGGGAATAAAATCCCAATTTAATATGTTAATTAAACTGAAAATTTATTTTTTAAGGAAATAAACTTTTTAATTAAAAAATGAAGGAGTACAACAAAATAAGACTTAAAGATATGAAAATTAAGAAAAGAAAAACAAGTAGTGAAACTGTTATTCCAAAGAAGATAATAACTCAAATAAATCTTTATTAGTCATACTTGGAGTTTGAATTGAAGGTGAAAGTTTGAAGAACATATGTTGATTATTGATGATTGCGAGTGGCTCTGGCTGAAAGCCATAATCCAAAATGAAAGTTTAAATCTAAATCACAACAAATTTAAAAAGAAGAAGTACATGCAAGTTTTACTCAATATAATTAATTAATCTCAAATTTATTAACAATTAAATTTAGAAGAATAACAATAAATTTTCTATTTCCAACACATCATATTGTTATTTTCTTAAGCTCAATTATTAATGGATTAAGAAGTAATTAATTGTATTAAATGAAATCTTAGGGCAACTTTTCCAATTTAAAATAAGAGTTATAAAAGTATTAAGGTATTACTTCGGATCAAAAGAATTTTGAACCCAGTTGAATGAACGAATTCTAGAATTTTTTTTTTAAAAAAAAGCAAATGAAGTGAAGAATAGTGGGTGGGATCTGCACTGCACGTGCACCAAGGTAGATCAAAGAGCAATGTAATCAAGTGGTCAGAGCAGACACTATTCATTGGAAACCCTATAAAGGAAAAATGGTCTCATCTTTATAAACCTCTTTCCACATCAACACTTCATGCAGGTGGATTCAATATAATTTATGTAATTTTCAAATCCTTAATCTAATTTTACTAAAATACTATTTACACAAACTGCAATGTTACTTAGTCGCGTAATTATAGGATCTCAAAGAGGAAAGATAATTAAGGGAGAATGACATATAGGTTATAAGGAGATTAATAATTTAAAGTAAGTCCCAATTAATTTCAAAATGTCAAACACTAATAATTTACAAGTTAAATTCTTAATTTTATAATTTTATTGTGATAAATTTATAATTTATATTATAAATTTTAATAGAAAAAATAAATTAGGAAAACATAACTTTAGGTATCTGCAGTTTGCTCAAATTTTGCTATAGATTCTTATATTTTTTTTGGTGTTTTAGGTCTCTTCCATGAGTGGTGTTATAGGAACCTAAAATATTAAAAAATAAAAGTATAAGGATCTATAACAAAATTCGAACAAAGTGTAAAGACCCAAAATTATATTTTTTCAAACAAAAATTTGTTTATTATTCAATTATGTTAAAATATGAAAAAATAAGTTACAAATTTATCACAACAAAATTATAAAATTGAGAGCTAAATTGACAAATCCCTAAAATTTGGCACCTTTGAAATTAATTGAGACCTAATTTAAATTAATTGATCTCCTTACAACCCATATGTTATTCTCCCTAATTAATTGGTCAATTGAAGTCTCTCTTTATACATATTTATGCTGAGATGTCTAGTTAGGATATTAAATGATGTTTCATTTTTATTCTGATAATTTAAATAACTTTCTTGTAATTCTAGCAAGGCATAATGGAGTCTTCTTTAGTTAATAAAGTTATAATTGGAATATTGAGATGTTTTTAACAAATAAAACAATCTAATAATTTTTCTTAATTTAAGTGAAAAATGTCTGAAACACCTTAATTAAGAGTTCGAAGAGAATATAAATTTTGTTGATGAAATATAATTCATTCAGTAAGCGCATAGAACTCACATTCTGCAATAACTTAGGTTCAAATCCTATTATCAATAAAAGAATTTTATTTATAAATAATGCGTAAATGCATTTATATGTGCTTCATAAGTTTAAAATCCTGAGATCCATCTGGTGAATCCCTCAAATTTGATTCACCGAAAATTTTGCATGTGTGTGTATCATGCATGCATGTACATTCTAAGCTAGACAAGGGCGACAATGATTGCATGATGCATGAACCAAAACATTACAATAGTAATATTGACCAATGCATCAAATCAAGAAGGTTAAACATAAAATGATTATATTAATCCTTTAGCTCCATTTAAGCAAAAAATATATATATACACATATCAACAAAATAAGTACAAAGAAAGAATGAAATGATGTGAGGGGAAAAAAAACATTTGAATCAAATTAAGTTAACGTTAATCTGAGAAAGAGAGCTAACTGGATTAGGTAGGTAATCATTAGTTAGGGATGGGCAAGACTCATTCTTCGTTTAAGCTGCTGAGATTGTGTGTTGCTCGTTTTTTTTTTAATCTTAAAATGTACTAATTTAAAATAAAAATAATATTTCAATTTCAACTATATATCAATTTACAAAGTAATAACATTACAGAAAAATGAAATTTAAAGCATAAATTTTTGGCACTGCTTTTTATTTAAATTTAAACATTTAATTTTCCACAGAAAGGAATAACAGATTTTTAAATAATATAATACTCTTATTTAATTTCCAAAAATTTCTCCCAATGCATAAACGCACAAAAAAGTAATATTCTAATCAAATATATAAATATATTTTCCAAAACAGAGAAAAATAATTATTTCTGACGCAACTAAAATATCAATCATTTAATCCACCTGGTCCTTTCACTTTCAAAAAATTACCTACTCCTTGAATGATGAAGTTATGAGTGAGTAATAAAATATAAGGGTGAATAAAAAAAAACCTAAAAATTTGAAGAATTGAGTTACGCTAAATTAAATTTTAAGAATTTGTAACCGAGAGAAAAACTAAACGTATTAAAAGATTAATAGAATAGTATATAAATCAATATGTTGATAGGAATTAGAAAATTGCTTATCTCACAATGATGCGAGTCAAAAAGAAAGCCTATGTCCTTATTGGGACGGCACAGATAGTGGGAAGCTCTCAATCTATCACCCGCGACGCTGCTTCAAAGAGACAAACACAGGGATTACAGCTTTTGCTTTTAAAAGTAGCCTCTCTGCTTTTCTGGCTTTTCTTTAATAATAATTAATTGGGTTTAAAATTGAAAGAGATTTATGATTATTAGTTGGAGACAAAATGAGTGATCTATTAAGAATCAATAAAGCATATACCCATTAAATAGTATTGGCTCTCGTGAATTATAACCGTTTAAACATATAATCTAGAATTTAAGTTTATATAAATATAAAAAAATTCTTTTAGGAGAGTTACTTATAATTGATATTGATAATGCTTAAATTTGACTTATTAAAATTACTCTATATAATATATATTTCCTCCATCCTTATATATATATATATATATATGATGTTTTTAATCGAATCTTGCATATTAATAAAAGTTTGTTATTTAGTTAAACTCATATGAAAACACAATAATTTTTAATTTTATCCCTAATAATATCATAATTAATACCATGATAGTGATTGAAAAAATATACAATTAATAATCTATTTTATTTTTTAAGATAAGGATAACATTTTTTAATTAATTAAAAATATTATTACTATTCTTTATATTTAAAAATAAAATAAATTTTTTAAAAATATTTTTATATATAAAAATAAAGGGAGTATATATGTAATAAAGAAAATCTCCGGGTGACTAATTTGTAGGCCAAGAGACCACACCCCCACTAGTGAGTAATCTAATCTAATCTGTGGGAGACATTATTCTTATTCACAAGTTGACACAACAAAGATCTCTCTCACGAGGACCTATTATTATCCCCTCTTAGATCATGAACAATTCCTCGGGATTCTTCGCTTTTCCTTATAATAATTGAATAAAACCAAAACATAGTGGAATTTGGTACTTGCAAAAGATAATGGCCACCCTCAGGGAATGAATGTTTCATTCTAGTTTTCACTGTGCTCTATGACAAAGCTTAACCAAGCGACAAAAAAAAAAAAAAAAGAAATCAATACTTCAACTGATTTAATTCGCTGACACAGTGAGAGTTTTTTTTTTTTTGGATAAATTAAGTAAGTTGGAGCAGGGAGGCTTACCAAGTCAGCATGTATCTCATCACTCAAAGAATGTTTAAGTATTTACAATTCACCCACTAATAAATAGTCTTGGACCCACTTGGTTATTTCTCTCTCCTCATTGCAGACAGCAAAGCTCTCTCTTTGATCCACTTAGTCAATTTAGATTAAGCTCCAATGTACCAACTTTTCACAGTGCTTAACAGATAATGCTTCACTTTCTTTGATTTTTATTATAATCAAGGGAAATAATTAATAAGCTATCTTCTTTTCTCTAGATCATTGCATGATTGAAGGGGTTTATTTATATGTTTTTTTTTTTCGCAATCATCTTTTGCATATATCTAGAATGGATTTACGGTGTCCCTTTTGCTTTTTATATATATCTATTCTTATGCTATCTTTGCTGAACACATTGGCAGGCAAGGCATGCTTAGTTCTCTCCTTTTTTCAGTCTCTCTTTCCTATTCGGCTCTGTTTGAAATCTGACACAAGAAGAGTGTGAACACAGCCAAAACGCACGTATTTTGTTTTGCTCTCGAATCTTTCAACTCCTACCCTTTACTTGCCTCCTTGAATTCTGCTTGATTTATTTTGAGCCTCTTGAGCTTCTCTCTGTTCTGATTATAAGTTTCTACTGAACCTTTAGCCCAAATGGAGAAGAAAGGAAAGATGGGTTTGTTTTGTTTAGCTTTGTTCTCCTTATGGAGTTCTGTATCTGGTTTGCTTTCCCCTAAAGGTGTAAACTTTGAAGGTAAGTCAAGAAACTAAGGATGGTAACTTCATAATTATACAGAAGAGCGTTTGAATATACAAGAACTAATCCTTATCAAATCACAGTGCAAGCTCTAATGGGGATTAAAGCTTCTTTGGTGGATCCTCATGCTGCTCTTTATAACTGGGATGGTGATGCTGTGGATCCTTGTAGCTGGGCTATGGTCACTTGTTCTCCTGATCGTTTTGTCATTGCCCTGTAAGTCAAGCTTGAACATTCTAAATTAATTTTTTAATTTTTATGGTATTTTCTTCTTAAAAGGTTCACTCTTTCTTCTTCTCAGGGGAATTCCAAGCCAGAACATATCTGGGACTTTATCTCCAAGCATTGGAAACTTGACGAATCTACAGACTGTGTGAGTAATGTATAATCAGCTATGGTTGAAGAAAGCAAAATATAAAGTTTTAGTGTGAAATTTATCTCATTAGATATTTTTGCAGGCTCCTGCAAGATAACAATATATCAGGACCTATTCCTTCTGAGTTGGGGAGGCTCCAAAAGCTTGAAACTCTTGATCTTTCTGATAATTCTTTTTCAGGTCAACTTCCGGAAAGTTTTTCCCAAATGAAGAGTCTTCATTATCTGTAAGTTAATAAATGCAGTGGATATGTTTGTGTGTGGTATACAACCTTTATACTGTCTGCTTCCTGTGTCTGATAATTGAAAATTGAATTGCAATCAGGAGGCTCAATAACAACAGTCTCACTGGAGAAATTCCATCCTCTTTGGCTAACATGACTCAGCTTGCTTTTCTGTAAGTTTTTATTAAGTATAAACCTTATGTATACCCTTTTTCCCTTAAGCTCTAATATTTTGTCTGCTTCTGAAATGTGTTCAGGGATATCTCTTATAATAACTTGAGCGGACCTGTACCTACTATAAATGCGAAAACATTCAAGTAATCTCTACGTTTAAGGCCCCTCTTTCATCCCACCACCTCATTTACGGATTTACTGTGTGTGTGTGTGTGTTTTCTTTTTTAAATTTTCGTGATTGTTCTTTGCTTCCCTAACATGCTTATCTCTTTGAAACAGTATTGTAGGCAATCCCCAGATATGTGATACTGGAACTGAGCAAAACTGCTTTAGAATGTCTGTACTTTCTTCTTCCTTGAATAATTCTCAAGGTAATCATAGATTCTACTTCTTCTTCTTCTAAAGTTCTGCTTCTCATACACCATGATGCTTCTTCTAAAGTTCTGCTTCTTATTTCAAATCAAATGCCCGGCAAAGATTTTTTTTTTTCCGAGTGATTTTCAAGGTAATCATAGTTTCTGCTTCTCATACCGCATGATTGTTCTTCTAAAGTTCTGTTTCTTATTTCAAATCAAGTGTTACACAGATCTCTCTCTCTCTCTCTCTCTCTCTCTCTCTCTCTCTCTCTTTGTTTTTTTTTTTTGAAAACCTCTCTCGCTCTCTGTTTTTTTTTTTTGGAAAAACCTTCAAGTTCATAATGATGTTCACTTTTTAGCTCAATACTGTTTTCTTTTGCAAATTGAGACCATAAAGCGCTGTTGTGATCTATCAATTTTCAAATAAGTCTCCTGCTTTTTTATCTATCTCCTTTGTCTAAGAAATTATCTCCATAGTCTTAAGTTCCTGACGTAGTTCTTGAAATGATTCTCCAGATTTACAATCCTCAGGTAGAGCTAAGCACCACAAAGTTGCCTTGGCATTTGCTTCAAGCATGAGCTGCCTCTGCCTACTAATTGTTGGGTTTGGTTTCGTCCTATGGTGGAGACAAAGATATAACAAGCAAATTTTCTTTGATGTTAATGGTTAGTATATCACAACCTTGTAAAAACTACAATAAAACCAACTGGTAGCCATGTCATTTCAATTTGTTCCTCTTAACACTCTAATATGCCAACGTTTTCAGAACAACACTGCGAAGAAATATGCCTTGGAAACCTCAAGAAGTTCCCTTTCAGAGAGCTTCAGGTTGCTACAAATAACTTCAGCAGCAAGAACTTGATTGGCAAAGGTGGATTTGGGAATGTGTACAAAGGGTACCTCCCTGATGGTACAATTATAGCAGTGAAGAGGCTAAAAGATGGCAATGCCATTGGAGGTGAGATCCAATTCCAGACTGAAGTTGAGATGATTAGCTTAGCCGTGCACCGAAACCTCCTTCGCCTCTATGGATTTTGTATGACAGCAACTGAAAGACTCTTGGTTTATCCCTACATGTCCAATGGTAGTGTTGCTTCCCGTCTCAAAGGTAATTTCAACTTTGCACTACTAGTCATTGCTTGTACATCTACCAATTTCTGAGTTTTTGCTGTCACAAACATGAAACTTTTTATCATCCTGTTATTCATGAGCCTTACAATATAACTTATGGTTTACCAAGTATGAATATTGGCTTGCTTTTGTTGATGATACAGCCAAGCCTGTCTTGATTGGGGAACAAGAAAGAGGATAGCTTTAGGAGCTGCAAGGGGCTTGTTATATTTGCATGAGCAATGTGACCCCAAGATCGGGATGTGAAGGCTGCAAATATCTTGCTTGATGATGATTGTGCGGCTGGTGTGGTAGGGGATTTCGGGTTAGCAAAGCTTTGATCACCATGATTCTCATGTGACACGGCTGTGAGGGGCACAGTTGGGCACATAGCCCCAGAATATCTGTCAACAGGCCAGTCCTCTGAGAAAACAGATGTGTTGGCTTTGGAATCCTTCTTCTTGAATTAATCTCAGGCCAGAGAGCTCTTGAATTTGGAAAAGCAGTAAACCAGAAAGGAGCTATTCTTGACTGGGTGAGCCAAATAATCTTGAAACAAGGTTATGGCATGTCAAGGAATAAAGAATTCTGATCTCTTGACTTGTTAAATGCAGGTGAAGAAGATTCATCAGGAGAAGAAGCTTGACTTGTTAGTTGACAAGGACCTGAAAAGCAACTATGATAAAATTGAACTTGAAGAAATAGTTCAAGTAGCTCTTTTGTGCACTCAGTACCTTCCACGTCATAGACCAAAGATGTCTGAGTGGTTAGGATGCTTGAAGGAGATGGGCTTGCAGAGAAATGGGAAGCCTCACAGAGAGCAGAATCAACAAGAAGCAGAGGAAATGAACTCTCATCTTCAGAAAGATACTCTGATCTTACTGATGACTCTTCATTGCTTGCACAGGCTATGGAGCTTTCGGGACCAAGGTGATATGGTGTTCTATTGTTAGCAACTAGTTCAGCGGAAAGTGGGTTTGTTGTACATTAGCATCATTTTAGCACCCTCTGAAGAGTTATTTCAATTTCTGACTGTACAGACACCGACATATAGATGAGTCATGATCGCGTTATGTTCCTCTAAATTCCTCTAGAGCGAAGGTTTCTCTTTTCCCTGGTCATCCTTCTGGGTCATTCAATTTGTAGCACTAATGATCTTGGGATTGGTTTGTGTTTGTTTAATCTCTCTGCTCAACCTTTTGGCTTGTGTGTGGTAGTTAAATTGGATTTATATATACATGGGAGGAGTGTGATAAAATATCCCCTCTGTTTCAAAGATAAAATATTTTTAAATCGAATCTCATATACTAATAAATTTATTAAATATACTCTAATAATTTTATTTTTTTAAAATAAAAATATAAACTTTAAAAATATCCTTCATTTAGTAACCTAAATCTATACTTAATTAGTATTAAGTATTAAATAGAGATAGAAAAAAACTAATATTGAAATATGTTTATTTAATAAAATTTTAATCTTCTCAAAATATATTCTAATTTGGGATGGAGTAATATTAATTAGCCATTACCAAATATCCCCCTATCCAATTAATGTAAAAGTAAGGAATAAATTCACCAATTTTTCCTATAAAATGAATAATGACAAGTTTGGAAAAATAGTATGAATTTTTTTTTAGAAATAGTAAGGTTATTAACTATCTTGAACAATTTTTCCTAGTCCACATAATATATAAATAGGATCGAACTCGCGAGTGACCGTAACTTCCCATTACATGGAGCTTTTATGTCATTCGGTTACAAGGCTATATCTCCAGCATTTATTTATGATATTTTATTGCCATATGTTAATTAGTTTAAGTTTTTAAAACAATGTACCGTATATAATAAAGAATTAATATAAAAAACTTAAAAATTTATATGAAATATTCTCTTGGTTCTTTCTACTCTCTGACAACTATCCATTAATCAATATGATTAACAAATATCCAAAAAGTGTTAATCCCATATAAGAAAGAATAACTCTTTTAATGTGATTTTTTTCCTACTTAAATGGTTTGAATTAAACCCAAATCTTATTTAAGAAAAATATCAATTGTTTTTCACATTCATCACTCTTATTTTTTACAACCGTTTATATTTATACGTTGTACATGTTTAATCTAGATTTACAGGAATTTGAGATGTATGATGCTGACTGCATGAGGAATTGAACTCTCTGCTTCTGTATCCTAAAAAATTCGCACCAGGACAACAAATGAGCCGGGTCAACATGAATGATTCATGAAATTTGTTCAGATTAATTAAAACTCTACTCGTGCGTCATATCAAGTATATTGAATCTGCGAGATATGATACCTAAAAAATAAAGGGCCAAAAAAGTAGAAAAAAGTTATTTGAAGCTTGTTTTAAATATATCAATCATGATTCTTCCCCACTCTGAAGTGCTCTAATTAATTGGCATTGTGGAAATATCCTTAATATACCCAACCAATGAATCAAGTCTCTTACCTGCCAACGCATCTCACAGTGAGAGAACTCCACCTCTGTTGAGCTCTCCATTAAATCAACCTTATATTTCTGGCTTGACCTTGAAATTGGTAATTCTTGCAACACAAGAAACTAACGTCCAAATGAAAGACAGTTGAAAAGAAGGAGAACCATGGGATATGGAAGAAAAAGAATGCATTTAATAAGATTGTCCACAAATTTAATCACGGACAAAAATGATTTCTGCGGAAGCAGAAGCTCGTCGAAATTTCACCAACTCGATCAACATTTTGAACAGACTTTCCATAACATAATACACGGTGCGATGCTCATGGTTTCAAGCACAGGTGAATTGGCAAGCAAAAAATTTGATCAGTTCCATCTCGTGAGGTACACCACACATATCTGTTAACTTCACAACTTTAAGCTGTTTAAGTGCACAATCTGAAGGGCATTCCTTACCCCAAAAATCCAAATCCGGGGCATCGGTTGCAGTTGGTATGTTTGATGAACCCTACAAAACCAAATTGGGTAATCATGAACTGTAAAAAGTATGAAAGGCTAAGAGCCTGACATTATTACTATGTTAAAACAGAAAGATGCCTTTACATCAATGAAACATGGACAATAACGCAAGATGTCATATCAAAATGTCTGTCTCATGTTCAGGTTAGTGTAAATGCTTGTTAGAATCATATGTACAAGGACTTACTGAAATTTGAAGCTCTTTTAGATTGGGAGAGCTTGTAATAAGGCGAAGGACCACGAGTATCTCTTTCATATCCTCAAAACTTACTTGATATAATTCAATCGTCTCTAAATTGCGGAACGTTACTGGAAGCTGTCCTGGGTCATTGCCTATGCTCAAATACTTCAAGAATGTTGAAAAAGCAATAAGAAAGGCTTTTGGCCATGTCAACACTGAAATTCTCCTTTGTGGCTGAAACTCCAAGCAAATAACTTGAACTAACTTAACAAACAGATAGAAACAAAATGTTACCTTTGTAAAGTAAATATGCCCAGCAAGCCTCTCAAGATTAGGCACACCACCAAGAAACTTGGTAAAATTGCAACTTGAACTTTGCTCAAAATGCTCAGCAATGTCATCAGTCATATACATAGCAACAGATATATCTACCAGAAGCGGAGTGTTTTCAAGACATAGATCCCTAAATTCACCTTCAAGATACAGGGTGTCTGAGATTTGAGGCATGAATAGTAAGAGCTAAACTATCAAAGTATGACAGTGATAAACTCTCCAAAAGTGGGCAACTGGAAATAAGACTCTCAATTGCATCAGGAGATATCAGAACTTGATGCAGGATGAGAGTCTTCAAACACATGAATCCTTTGAAAGTAAGGGGAGGTTCCAACTCACAGCGGAAGAGCTCCAAGCGAGTCAATTTCTTACAATTGAAAAGACAAGATGGTATTCTAAACCATTCACCTTCACCTAATTCAAGAACCAGTTCCTTCAAACCATTCCTTGAAAGAAAAAGAATCCACTGATCTCTCTCCAAAAGTGGGCAACTGGAAATAAGACTCTCAATTGCATCGGGAGATATCAGAACTTGATGAAGGATGAGAGTCTTCAAACACATGAATCCCTTGAAAGTAAGGGGAGGTTCCAACTCGCAGCGGAAGAGCTCCAAGCGAGTCAATTCTTACAATGATGAAAAGGACAAGATGGTATTCTAAACCATTCCCTTCACCTAATTCAAGAACCAGTTCCTTCAAACCATTCCTTGAAAGAAAAAGAATCCACTGATCTATTTCTGGGCAGCTCTTGCAAGTATGATGATTTGTAATTTGAAACTCGTGAATTGGTCCTTGGTGAAAAATAGCAGCTGGTTGACGAACTTTATAAGGCTTTTCTCAACAATAGTTCGATCGTTACCGGAAGGAACACATTTTTCATCAATCACAATTTTAGTCACGGCATTCCATTTGTACCTCCATTTACTTGACAAACTGCTTGTTCTAACGGTGTCTCTTATCGGCAGTCGTATCAGAATACTCTCTATAATACTCTGAGGAAGATCACTTATCAAATCAGGACCCAAAATCGCCCATTTGTGAGCTTCAGCTAATACATAAGAAAAAAAAAAAAAACGCGAAAAGAAAGTCACAGCACTATATATAAGAGAAAACATAACTAAACTCCATTGTCTTCCCGCAAATTGTGTATCCCTTTATATCACTAACCCTCTCTTTTATATTGGTGGATCACAGATTAAAAAAGAAATCCAAATCCTCACTTAAAAAGAAAATAGAAGCTTGATTTTCTGAATCTATCATTTTATACTAAAGAGATATATTTCCTCTCATCGTCCAAAAGAAACAAATCAACAACAATGAGAATTCGAGTAAATTCTTCTTGAAATCGAGAGAGAGAGAGAGACGAGAGAGAGGAGAGAGAGAGAGTCACGACTCCTGAGAGAGAGAAGCAAAATAATCTCGGGTTTAATAGAAGCTCATAATTCAATTCCAATCGATTTGTGCATATAATCCATCGGGGAAAAAGAAAGGAACAAGAGAGCGCAAAAATAAAGAATCGTACCTAAGAATGAAGCTGTTGAGCACAATCTTGTGATCTTGTTCTACAGGAAAAATCAATAATCAGTTTTTCCTGTTGGAAGGGAAGATAAGGTTAAGGTTAAGGAAGGGGAATTCATTGGGTTCGGTGCCCAGATACAATCAGAGAAGAAATTGGGAAATGAAATAAAGAAAGAAAAAGGCTTTTACTTTTTCTCTGTCTCTTCCTGTTCTTTTGATCCTGTCTATCATAAGTCTGACCAGCGACTGGCGATTGTGGGTCACAAATACAATTTATATGAAATGCAGAGTGATAAGTATAAAGGGTCAAATATTTAAGGGCCAAACTAGAACCAAGAATGGGAAAACGTCTGTTCTGGAGATTTAGTGGCAAGAATTTTATGATTTAAAGATATTGATTTTTAAAAATTTTAGGAATGAAATCGTTTAATTTAAATGTTATTTCAAAGTTTGGTTTCATTCACGTTTTGATGATTTTTGTTGATATATTTACCAAAATATTCAAAAGAAATAAGAAGTTTTGATTTTTTTTTAAATTTTAAACAGAAACCTCCAAATGAAAATAAAAAAATTATTTTTGATTTTTTGAATTATAATTAATGATGATTGAGTCTTTTTAAAATTTTTAATGAGTCCGAATGAAGGAAGATTTAAAAGCAGTTCCTATTCAACTTATTTAGGATGATTTTCTTCTAGTTACAGATATGGTTATCTGTTTTATACTTTTATTATCGTCTTATTATTATTATCATTTTTTTTTTTTTGTGGTTTTAGTCTCTGGGTTGTATTTTCTGTGGTTGTGTTAGTTGTATGCTCTCATTTGCTCACTAGGTTGTTCACGTTATTGTCTTTTTTTTAATTCCAGTATGTTGGGCCTAGAGGAATAGCGTCACTACTTTCTTGGACTTTGGTGATGTAAACTTTTTACTCTGTTTTTAATAAAATTTGCTTCTTTCTTAAAAAAAATGATTAAGCCCTTTATGTTTTAAAAAAAATATTTTATGTAACATGAGAGTTTCCAAAATCTCGTCATAAATTCAAATTTAGCATCACACGGGAACAAAAAACCCTGTTTAGTATTGTTGAATTAAACATCGCATTTGGAGAAACACACAAGGACATGTCACTTGAAAAAGTGTCCTATTTTATTTTGAATTGGGCATTGGCAATGTCATAAACTAAAATTTAAAAGCAAGCCCATTGAATCAACAAAATTTCCAGTGAGCATAAGCACCCTCACCATCACCTCAAACTCTATCACTCATCTCTTCAGTTTACTATCAATGCTTCAACCTCACCTTTCTAACTAAGCAAAAGCTGTTGCCAGCAAACCAAGTATATTATATATACTCCCTCTAGTCCTTTTTAGAAGGCACTATATATGGAATATTTATTTAGTGTTGATTTATATTCTCCAAACTTGGTTCTTCGTTGAAGATTGGATTTGACAAGCGTAAAGTTAGAAACTTTATTTTCAGATAGAGTTGAAATGGGTTTTAAGCCTCTCATTAGTTCTAGTAAAAATGTTGAAAGTGACCTTTAAAAAAAAACCAGAGGGAGTATATCTCGGTAATAGTACTACAAGTATTAGCAACAGTACTAAGAACCCCGTCGAGGAATCTAAGTTCTAGTCACCAACCCCTTCACCAAGAATAACCCAACACAACCAAAAGTGATAGCAACAAGGGCACGAACTGAAGTGGGATCTAAAGCAGAAGCCATGCTTGTCCTGTTAGTTCTTGGTTGACGAGATTTGTCTCCCATGTTCCCATGGAGAAGGCTATCGAGATTGTCTATTTTCTGCAAGATCTGGCGCTGCCCTTTTGCAATACACAATATCTGACGACACACATTAACCCCATCAAATCAACATTAAAGATACGGCAATTAGAGACATGACACAGGAACATGGGTGTTGAGACAGACTCCCTCGTTTGGAGGTGCTTTTATAAGTGAGAACTAATGCAGCTTCAAAGTATACGCTTCAGTAAATTAAGTGCAATTTTTAAATATTATTATGTTGCTCAACAGAAGTTTGACATATGCTGACATGAAACTTACATTGAAGAGTCAATAATGTGAGATTGATTGTACAAACTACAAAAGATGCAAGTTCAATTTTACTGGAGAATCTCATAGCAAACATCTACAGAACTTTAAGCTCTGTCCAATTGGGAGAGGTTACAGGAATCTATCTTGTAACACCAGCACATTCTAAAAGCCGAGACTGATTACTTTTTTTGAAAAGAACAAATTCTACACAAGAAAAACCCAAGAACAACTGGAGGCCGTTTAAAAGAAACCAACTTGTAGTATCAGACTGACACAATGCTGTTCAGGAACAATCAGTTAGGCCCACTATTTTATATAGGGGCCAGAAACTTCTCAACGGTTGCTACAAATATGTTCATTTGCTAATTTATTGTTTTTTTATCATGGCAAGTCAAACATCACAAGCAATAGGATAACGCTACACAACCAACAGCCATAATTTGGTACACCTACATATGGGGAGAATGAGAATGAAGAACCAGTTATTGTGAAAAGAAGCATAGCTTGGTCCTCTATTATAAGCCACTCCCCTTTTCGCTTGCCTGAATTTATGCAGGCATCGCATTGATTCCCCCAAATCCGACACATCTTTTGTGTGGGCCATTATCGAGCTCTCTGTTTTTTTTAACCTATCCTAGAATCCTAGCATGAGATTTAGCATGACACAACTAAATTTACAAATGAATGAGAGAAATTTTTACTAGTTTCATTATGACAGAAACCATCTAACCTCTCCCTCACAAGGGAAAAAAAAAAAAGCATTCTCAAATAATTATCTTCAAGAGCCACAATATCATATATAATCAGCAAAAATACCTCATCTGTTAAAGGTGACTCCTTAGCCAATTGCAATGAAGATGAGGACTTCATAATAGATCCAGTTATAGAACCACTTCCCAAACTAGTGATGAAGTGAGAGGTGGGAGCAGAGCCATTGCAAGCTTCAGCTTGAAGTGCTGCGGTTTGTTGGCTTGGAGAATTTTGATTGATGCTTAACTTGGAATTAAACTCTTCAAGACGACTTGTAAACTCATCAATTCTATCATTGAGCGAAGAAATTTGTTCTGTAAGCTGCGTGAAGTTCCCATGCCATATATTATGAGAATGAAGCACAAAAAAATAGAATGAATAATTTGAAAACAGACAGACAACTGACAAGTGAAGATTCAAATCAGCTGCAACATGCTCAGAAGTAATTATTTTAAATGCATTTACCTCATTTGTTAGAGCTATGAAGGAATCTGGATTTCTTTCACCAAATGCTCGGTTGCTGACACCATATCGCAAATGCTTGAGCAGATTTTTGTCCCTCTGGCTTGTATATGACTGGGACATACCACTGTTGAAGATGCTCATTGGTCAATCAATTAGATAAGTGCAAAATACACTTGTGTTCAAGTAGTATAAGATAGACAACTTTCCATGAGAAAATTTAACAGAACTCACTGACAACTTACTTTTACTTGAAAATTTAATAGAACTTGATTTTTTATTGACCTCTAATATACATCTTTTCCTCCACAGTTCAATCAAGAAGCAGAACTCTTGAACTACAATGCAATGATAACACAACAGCTACGAAGTATAATGCAGTTGATGCATCACATGACTTCCATTTTCCATGATAACCATTACAAGAACTCTGAATTTAAGTTGCCAGTTACCAAACACGGTAATGAAAAAAACCTTAGATGTTTAAATTTATAGAGACATGTATAGGTACATACCCACTTATTAAATTGCAAGAACATGAACACATTCTTCAAGCCAATGTCATGATGTTTTGATCTCAGAAAACAAATAAAAAGTACAGAAATTTCCACCTCATATGCGTTTTTCTCACGGGAACCCTATCTGCAAAGGCTTTAGAAAGTGCTTCTTTTGGGCTAGACACCATATCCTCACCTAGGCCGAGCTTTGCTTTTAAATCATCTGGAAGGGCCTGTGGAATAGTTAAGACAGAGAGCATTGACAAAGGGACAAGATATTAGCAGATGAGAAATTGTCATACCATAACCTCATCTACAATCTTTTCCAGTTGAAATTGCTCAATGTACGTACGAGCAATATAGGAACCTTCCATGCTGAGATGTTGGGCTATGCATCTTACAGTCGATCGATCTTTTCCTTGCACCTGTTTATTATTTCATAACACATGGATCAAAGAGATTAATAGTTAACTATCAACCAAATAATCCAAGAACCATAAGGGGAAAAAAAATAGTACAAATGAATACTTTATTTATCAGATAGTACCTTCTTTATATGTCAAGCCATAGCATCAATGATAAGGAAAGGGAAAGAAGACAGGAAGAGAGAAGTACTTGAACTCTCAGATTTCTTGACTATCATTTCTACATTTCTTCATATTTAGTTCAAAAGTTGGAACCCAAACCACTTGTTCGATTTGAGAAATTTAATATGGAATTGTTTCATAAAACTAATTACCAACTAGCAACATATTCATTTACGTCTGAGAAAAATGCACAAAAATGCAAGGTTTTTTTGCCTCCCATAAGTTCCATCATCTAACAAGTACAATGCATTACATAAAAACCCCTAAAGAATCCACTGAAGGAATAAATCTGACAAACCATGGGAATTTCAACAAATATGAAATCCAGCAAGCCTTCAACAGTAATACAGTAGAAGCATATACTTGTTATAATGGTACCTGAACATATTGTCGATTAAGCTGCTCAAGCCAATCAAGTTTCACCGACACCTTATCATCAGAGAATACATGGCTGTTTCTTTTTAGAATGGTAGCTATTGTGTATCCCAGGGCCATCAGACCTCCAAGGAGCCGCACACTAACCTCAAAAGATATTCTTGGTGAAATGACAAATGGATTATCTGTCACCCATTCCTGAAAAGTTATTAAGTATCAATTAATTTTTTCTTATTTTCTTCAAATAGAAAAAGAATTGTCAATAAAAATGAAAGAATGAGATACAAACAGGAAGGAAGAAAACAGCAAAAAGAAACAACAAAGCTGACCAGCCACTCTGCATTATCAAGAGATAGTGTATTTCCTAACAAACCATGGGCTGAACACCAAAGGAAGCAACCATAAGGGTAAATAGATGCCCTTGAAGATGCAATCATTCCTCTCCAACTATATATGAAGAAGATCGCAGACAAAACATCTTGGCTTCCTACTCTCATTGAAATTTTGGAACATAGAAATTGCTTCAAGTTGTTTGGGTACTCTCAAAGCTTGCCAAGAACTTTAAACAGGTTACTCAAGAAGAAAGTTGCTGTGAAACAAAGCCACAGTATAATGGGTATGATTCTTGGATTTATTTCCCTTCCTTATAAAAACAATGAATCCTACTTGAATGCAGCCTAAGATGCAAGGACAAGACAATGACAATAATAATGCGGTCAGAAAAGTCCTTTTTTACGCATCCATGTTTCATAGTTCATATCTTGCAGACAAGTTCATAAGACTCCATTTTGACGCATCCATGTCAAGAAAAATTGACATCACATGATAATAACAACTGGATGTCCAGATTAAACAACTCTTTGGAATGTAAAATAAGAACAAGGAATTCAAATTGAAAATTCAAACTGCAAACAATGGACTGTATTTCCAATCCTATATAATTGACAGTAAATCTGATGTTCCATCTTAAATGAACAGCAAAATGTCTAGATTAAACAACTCTTTGGAATTTAAAAGGGCATGGAAACTGAACTTAAAAAAGCAAACCTCAAACATTAGACAGTATTTCCCCTCCTTATTCCGCATCCGTAAATAAGATTGGCAAGTTTCAGGATCTTCACCCGGTGGCAGAAGATATATGTCATAAATCTGCTCATTTGTTTCCACAAAAGCTTCAGATAAAACAGCTTTAATTTGATCAACTGTCACATTCCTTGCTGACTGCAATACGTATTACAACTGGTCACTATTTTATCATTATTAAAGCATTGGTGTCAGACATAAGCATCAGAACTCAAAAAACTTTCCCTTTTCTTTTAAATGAAAATCGGAATATAAAATAATGTGTATCCAGGCACTAACTTTTAATATGTAAGTAGGACTCTGGAACCCAGTAAATGGATTGAACTTGTTGATTATTTTGATATGTGCTGTCTGAAGATCTTGCTCTATAAAGAGCTTGTACATTGGATATACCTGCAAAGCTATGGATTTCAAAATTTCTGGAAACAGATATGCTTTTCAAATCTGGATAAAACGTAAATGTAAATAGAAAAAGTATAAACCGTCTCAGATATTTGATGAATAATTTCTCCAGGTTGTTGACCCGCACGTTGAATGTCACGTATAACTCGTTTGACTAGGTCAAAATGAACTCCACCAGTAACAGATATACGAAGGTCCAGTAGAGGTCGCAACCTATCACTCAAAGCATAGATACCCTCAATGATCACAATTCGGGAGCTTGGGACTTCAACTGTCCTGTTATCAAGGTATATGTAAGTGTTAAGCGAGTGTACATGCCAGTTACTCAAGTTCTGTCACAAGAGAAAACACGAGCTCAGGATTGCTTGGGACAATCAGATTGTTCTCCAAGAGCAACAATAATGAAGAATAATTGAATTATAATCCTTCAGGTGAAAAAAATTGTAGAGGGGGAGTAATTGTTATGCGTTGTTAGAAACAATAAGATAAGAAGTAAGTAGCTAGTTGCTTGTTGTTGTTAGTTAATTAGCAGCTGCCTTCAGGAGTGAGTGGCTTCTGTTATCTGTTATAAGTAAAACAGTGTGTAATTAAATCCCACTCGTACTCTAGTCTGGTATGAGTATGAGACAAAGGATTTAAGAAAGGTTTTGTTGAATCTCTCATGAAAATCTACTGGGTAATCTGTTTGCCTAGGGCCTTCATAACCGTTAAACTGAAGGTCTTCAGTCCAATTGAAGTAATGGAACATCTCAAATCAATTGAAACAATTGTGAATTTGTGAGTTAACTTTGATATGAACTTAATTTTTCATCACAACTGCTGGAGATCAGAACATACAACAGAAAGTAAAGACCGAATCAAACAAGAATGAGCATGGTACCCCATGGGTGCATATACATACAAACATCTCAGCAAAAAGCCAACTCGGAACAGAAAGAATACATTTTTCATTATATTTTGACTTTTTATTTTTCTAAAAAAATAGTGATCCCTGACTTGTATCTCAAAAAGTTTTTCCATTTCAAGGAAAAATATGTGAAAATGTGTTGATATACTAGATGACTGGGAATTTACCTGTATCCTAAACGTGAGCTGGACTTGAAATCATAGATTGGAACCTGGGCTGGCTTTCCTGCCTTTAAATCTTCTACATTCTGAAGTAATGTGTCATAGTCTGTCAGTCGTGGATCTGCCCAGAGAGATAATAGAAGTGGCAAAAACATGCAGAGATTATTGTCCTGACCTCAAATTGTTAGCGAACTTTTAAATATCAAAGTAAACACTAATGAAAGTAGGACCATAAAACACAAATATACAAATTCAAAAATCAGGTAAGATCCATACATCAAATGTACAATAATAGGAATAAATACCAGCTCATTTATCCTGATTATGATATCAAATTATTCTTTATAAATGATTCAACTTCCCAAGAAATCTGAGAAAACATCAAGACACACAATAACCTCAACTCATCCATGGAAGTTGAAAAAGTCATTTTCAAGTTCAGAAAAGAGCTTAAACAATCTGTACTTTGCTGTACTTATTACTTATATCAGCTAAAAAGACATTACATAAACCTAATGAAAAAAATTCTCATTTGTTCTAAATTAATTTGATGTCATCCACCATGAAATCTTTTGCGATAACAATTTTCTTATCACACCCACCCTTGACGTTCCAAGTATCCTGCATTCCTGCTAAATTACTAATCCTAGTAATATCTTCTCCTAAGTCATTTAAAATACTAATTCCAACATTTTAGAGGAGTTCAAGAACCAAGTACAGCATAGAATCTAAAATAGTGGCATAAGAAAAGGCTTCAAATCCCTTTCAAGTAAACACAAGGCCTGGGAAAAGAAACAGGAAACTCAATAAACAATGCAATGTAAGTAATATCAGTTTATGTGCCAAAAAGATGTAGCTAAATTCTGTTCCAATAACAATAAACGAATAATATAAAGAAAGCTATTTTTAAACCAAAGTTCATATAACTAATTTGTGGAAAATGTAAAATAGTATATATTGCCAAATTTGGCAAGGAGTTCCCAAGATAAAAAACCGAGGAATTCTTTGAAAAAAACTAATCATCTGAAGCAGTTTGTAAGTTACTTTAAAGAAATGAAAATTTTGCTTCTTATTTTAAAGTCATTTGGTTAATAAAGGAAAATGCAAGAATCAAACCTATGACTCAGATAATATAAAGGAAACATTTGATGTCTTTTTAGTGTCACAGCTAAAGATGATAAATACAACTATAATAAATAATAGTTTCAACATTCTCTTAGGTTGGGGTAGCCTAGTGGGTTTAATCTGTTAACAAATGTCAATTTTAAATTTAGCGCCTCATTATTCATTGCTGCAATAATATTTAAATTCATATGTTTGAACAGAACTTTCCCTGGAGAACATCTTTTTAATTTCCAAAAAGTTTAATCCTCTCGGCCTCCCCCCATTTTCTGATGCAAGGAGAATTCTTGATAGTTTGAAATCAGGGAGGAGCACAAAAATGTTGATTTTTTTAAATCTGACTGTGCAAATGGAAGCCCCCAAGGGCATAAACCAAAGAGTTCTAACCTTTTAGATGTGCATAGACAAGTAAAACAGCCAATGAAGATTTGATAGAAGAAAAGCAAAGAAAAAGAAAAGGCTCAGAAGGAGATTATAAAGACAACACCTATAAAGAGTTGAGCAAAAGGAGAGAAGGAGAAGGAAAGGACTCGACAAAAATGAAATCAATATAATATAATACTAGAAATTTCTCATGAAGCCATATATATATATATATATATATTTATTTTTGACAAAAGAATCTTAGCCCAGTCAGAATGATCTAATAAATGAATTAGCCTCATATGTCATGGCCATGTAAGCATGTGCATATTTCCCAGGCTTGCAATAAGCTACAAAACTTAACGTCCAACCACATCAATGCAAAAAAATAAAATCTCTGGTAGATTCACAGAAGGAAATGACCTGTTAATGAATAATCACATGACAACGATAGCGTTTATCTTAGAAGAAAAATTATTTCATCATTAGAGGAGAAGCACTATTAGTTCAATCATTCCATGCAACCTGCATCCAGATAATGGCACTATAGATGGTATGCTGAAAGCACCAAAAATGAAAAGATAAATGACTTAATTACCATCAAAATTTCCATCAACAACTCGACTTGAATCATTGTAATTATCCATCGAAATGACTGCAATGCTGGGCATGAAGTTGACTATTTTGTCAGTGAATACAGTCTTACCAGCCCCCGAAGGACCAGCCAACCCTACCAAAATTATTCCATCATTATTTTGAGACAACATTTGGCATGCACGGATCACAACAAAAAATCCCTTCTCAAATGATAGTTCATTGTGGATTGGAGATATCTCATAGCGATCAGAGTCTTTCCTTTTAACCAAGCAAACTTGATCTTTCAAGAGAGCAGGGCGCCCGTGATGTGAATCAGCAGCACCAGAAGCATATTGTGCCATTGAATGAACCCAGAATTCCTTCTAAGGATAAAGAAATCAACCACCAAAAAAAAAAAAAAACCAGTAAGCCTGTGAACTCAGATCTGTACTGGGAGGTCATGCATAGATATACAGGGTTAGGATTCTGCATTATCAGTTCCTAACCACACCAAAATGTTTTAAAACATATTCTTCACAGAATGAAGGTCCTCTCACTTTCAACCCCTGATGCCCGAAGAAAACGCTAGCCTAAGAATAATCTATTGAAAATAGAGAATCATATCAACAAAATTGCTGGTTGAAACATTACTTGAAATGTGAAAAATGAAAGAAAAAAATAAAGAACATAACTCCCATATGCTGATTTTTGAGAAATAGCTGAATTTCAAGCTATTACTTCTTGATAGCATTCGTAGGATCTCTGCAGTCCAACTCCAGTAATTAGACTACGGAATAAGAATGGAAAACAACAACAGGAGGAAAACAGCAAAGAAAAGGAGAAAGTTTAAATACTGCATACAGACAAAGTACAACCATGACCGGTGAGAAGTAAATAACTCCTTGATTGCGCAAGGATAAATGCACATCCGTAATGTACATAACAAACTAATTTCATAGACAAAAATCATATAGAAGTGTCATGACAAACTTATTTGACGAAAGAAGCAATCTCGAAATTAAAAGCATTACAAGCCATAAAGAAAAAACATCACCCAACGTACAATTAAATGACCCCATGCTGTATCAACTAGTACCGACATAATACCAAATAAGCAAGAACTATAAGTAGTGCCCATAGAAGAGCACGCAGACCCAAATCGGAAACTTTATGGTAAAACTGAAATCATTTTTGGAAGGAGCATAGAAATAGTGGACTCTAATAATTACAGAAACATGATTTTCTCCAAACTTACTGAGCAGCTAGCTTTTTGGATGCCACTAACTGTTCATCATTTAAAGCATCACTTATGACATCATATTGAATACCCACCCTAAAACAAAACAATCAGCATTTTCATCCAAAAAAGAAATTAATGGGCCAACTGCCGCAAAAGCATGGCAATGATCATCCCAACGACGTCATAAGAAAAACCACCAAAACCCAGATATGAAAATCAACAGCAGCCATGCTTAACAAAGGCAGAAAAAATAGGCCACTAGAAACTCTGTTCTAGGGGTCTGTCTGGGTCCAAAAAGAGTGATGGCCAAGCAAAACGAGGCAACATTAACGATTATATCTTCATAAGACAGGAAACGATTCAATCTTGAACAGAAACAATGATAACCCAGAAGTGAATGCGAATCAGAACTCATGCACTCCACACATTTGCAATGATCAAAACACTCACCGAGGCTGTCTGCCTGTCCCAAAGAGTGAGCTGAGCAAACAACAGGAAGAACCAGAAGTATGGGAATCCCTGCAAGGTCGGTTCTGCTCCGCAGCTTTATATTCAAATTATTTCTCACCGTAACACCCTCGCGACCTTGCCGCTAAACACACTCCCGAACAGCGAGTTAAGCTGTTACATTTGCGTGCATATATATATATATATATATATATATATATTGATTGCATTTGTTTATTAGAAGTCAATTCGCGGCGAAATTTTAGTATCACGGAGTTCACTCGTTGAAATGATTGGAATCTCGTTTAAGCAAGTGACTAGTAGTTGTTAAAATTACACCTAGAAAATCTTACTGCTCGGAAATTTTTGCCATTTGCATTTTTATCTCGACTGAGATAATTATATGAACATTATTTTTGTCCATATTTCTAATTTTTAAATAAAATATAAGGGACAAAATTTCCTGAGAAGTTTTGCTTGTAATATCATTAATGTATAATTCAATTTAATTTTTTTTGTACTTAATTGTCACTCTTCCAAAATATAATAATTTTTTAATTATTTGTTTGTGATATCATTAATCCATAATTCACTTTAAAATTCTATAATTATTTAGCAGATGATGGATGGTGACCGCTTTTTCCACTTTTCGCGCTAACCGTTTGATGCTGGCAGGCTGGCTTGGCTTGGACGTTAGCCTATTAATTGAGATAATGTTTTTAAGATATTATGATTTTATTTTAACGATTAAAAGTTTGAATTTTAAAGAATTTAAAAATATCGCATGAATGCTTTATGAGAATCTTTCAAGGACTAGGTCATCTATTTGATCATGACAACGAAGAAAATTTACGTAACAGCATTTTTATTTAACATTTATATATACTTTTTAGAACTTTATAGAATTAATTTTTGTCCACTTTATAAAGAGAATTGATTTGTATAGGCTAAGATAATTTTGAACAAATAAGTACCAATATAAGATAATTAATCCAACCTTGCTTTGAGGTCAGAAGAAGAAGAAGAAGAAAAGAAACCAAAAAAAAAAAAAGTTCAACCTTGCTAGAGAGTCAATTGTCAAATAAATGACGTCAGTTGAAAGTTGGAAATGGGAAGATTAGATAACTTGGTGACTTTTTAGCTCTAGAAATTTCATTATATGGGATCGTAATTATTAAGAATGACTTTATGATGCATTGTATGGATATATTGTGAATACTTTTAATATTTTTATTTAACATGATTACATGATTCAAACTCAAAACCTTAAAATATATTGATTTGATTCTTTTAACCCATAATCCAAGCACTCTTAATTCCTATAGAGATTCTTCTAATAATATAATAACATAATATATTTTTTTTTTAAAAAAAAAGAACACTTCTTTGTATTTTTTTAAACATGTAGCACAATTAAAATTAAATTAAATTGATGATAATTCCTTCAACATGATTTTTTATTCAACAAGGCCTGAACCCCTAGTCTTGCTTGAAAATCAAGTATTTTCTCTTTATTGTACAAGCATTTTTTTAAAATTTATAGATTAATGTCTTAAAAAAATTAATTATTTTCAAAATGAATTATAACAAATAGCTCAATTAGCATGATCTATATCCTTTGATGCGAGGGATCTTAGATCAAATCCCCAAGTGATCTAAGGGAAATATTATCGCATGTGTGTGTTTTTGTGTTTACATGTGTGCGAACCCTTGCCCTATAGAGAAGAGTTATATAGGATAGTCAATCAAAAAAAAAAAATGAAATTGATTAAACATAAATGATAAACAATTCAATCATTATCTTTGAATTATAAAACTTTAAGGTAAGTGATGTTTGTTATTTATCTTTTGGAGAATTGGAGTTTAGATATTTAGACTTTTGATATCTATATGCTATGTTAGCAAAAAAATAATAATACTCCATATGTCTCATATTATAAGATAATTCTAAACAACATCATGTATATCAATAAAATTCATAACATAACCTTAATTTTTCAAAATATAAGTATAAATCTTAAAAAATATTCTTCATTTAATAACTTTAGCTTTGAAGGGGGAGTATAATAAAGAATAAATGGTAATATTGAAAAATATATTTAGTGAAATAATATTTTTATTAAATTATCTTATATTTTAACACACTAAATTATTTCCAAAATTATCTTATAAACTAGAATTAATGGAATAATAACAAGGAGAGCATAAGACTTAACTCTCTCTTATAAAAAATGTAAGTTATTTTTTGAGGCGTTAGATGTTAAAAAATGTAATGCATTTTTAGTTTTTCGAGATATAATTATTACCTTTTTTTTTTCAAAAGTGCCTTTATTGATAATAATTTTATATTTATTGTAGGGTATTTGTGTTTGATAGGGATAAATATGAAAAGATAAAGTTAGTTGAAAAATAGATAACTATTTTATTAAGAGTAAGATTCGATTTAATATCTTATATTTTTTAACAAAAGGAATATAAGTTAGGTCATATAGCATTGCAGGTTAGGAACTTTTAGGATCAAATCAAATCACAAAATTCACAAAAACTACATAATATAAAGGCGGACTTTCTTTTATTTATACACACAGATATTTAATCAAACATAAAAATATATGATTAAGAAATTACTTCGAAGGTCGGGTTCAAACGTGTTTTAAACAAATTAAACATGCTTTATTTTCATGGTAGGTATCAGTCCTTTAAAGAGAGGGATAATAGGGGCTGAAGCCTCAACCACTGCTTGCGACCTTGACGGAATCTGTTCTATTTATGAGATTATCCAAAAAAAAAAAAGGGGGGGGGGTACCGCTTTAAATTTTTATGCTTTAATCCTATTTTATTGTTAACTTTTTAATTTTAAAAATATTTATAAAAATTAGAAACAGTGATAATAAAATTTCTCTAAAATATATAAATAATAATTGAATCTCTCAAAATGTCATAATTCCTTATAAATCCTTTGAAACTTTTTTATTATTAATAAATTTATATAAATTATCAAATTTTTCTTATTGAAAACAAATGATTTATAACTTTTTTTTTATATTCGTAACTTTACAATAACAAATAAAAATTTAACATATAAAGTTGTGATTTACTGTTGCATTATTGCGAATTTAAAAAGCAAAATTGCGAATATAAGAAGAAAGTTATAAATTATTCATTTTTAATAAGGGCAACTTGATAATTTATATAAATTTATTAATGACAGAAAAATTTTAAGGACTTTAAAAAAATTATGACATTTCAAAGAATCAAATTGTAATTTATATATTTCAAAAAAATTTTATTCTTATTTTCTCTAAAAATTATGAGTCGACTATGTTTATTTTATTGATATAGACTTAATATTATTAAATTATATAATGATTATGAAATTTTGGAATATTTTTCGAATTAGAATAGTTAATATTACAAATGGACGGAGTAGAAGGGATGAAAATAAGTTAGAAGAACTATAAATAAAATATGAAGTATAGAGATTGGATATTTTTTTTCAAAAAAATAATAATAATGATAATTCAATATTAGTTGTGTACGGAATTGGAAATTTGTACCACTGTTTTTCAAGAAAGCGAGAATTCGAGTTCATTGACAATTGTCAATGTCATTGAAAACGAAATGTAATACCGATAAAGATTGAGACGAATAAAGAGAACGAGATATTGTTTAAATTCCTAATCCTAATACCATTGATTGTTCCACTTTTAACCCTCATACACTGAATTAAAAAGAAAAAAAGAAAAAAAAAATCGAATGGTTATAATGTTCTAAGAGACATAACACAAATTTAAATGAATAAAAATCTAAACACATGCTATTGGCACCATTATCACAACAAAAATGTCATCAGCACCGTAATACTGTATAGTCACCTAGTTTTGAACTTTCCTCACTGTTCAAATTTGTGTAGTTGATTTAAAATTCATGACAAATAATATTTTATTGTATATAATTTTGAGAAAAGATCTCTTTTTGGTGTTATTTTTGTCCTTCAAAACAAGGCTAGATAGAGGCCATAACTCCACAAGGAAACAAAGCATAGTTGTTTACCTCTGAAGTCTGAATTCTTAAAGCTTAAACGTCCAATGAAATCCTAGTCCAAGATTACCACAGAGGAAGATGAGGGGAATATAACTTTTACACCTGTTAAATCTCTCTCTCTGCGCAACAAATCATAGATTTTTCAGTGCAAAATATCTATTGAATCAACAGAAGCATATCAGAAACTACATTTCGATGACCACTGGCTTCAACAGCCAGACAAGCATCTTCAAAAAAAAGAAAAAAAAGAAAGAATCAATCATTGACACAACCATTGGTCTGAGAAAAATCCACTAAACTCAAAAAACAGGTTCTTTTCATCCAGATGTGTTATTGAAACCAAGAGTTCTTTCATTGGTTTAATGGCAACCTTCCCATGCAAAGAACCACAAGAAGGAGCACATTACCTAAACCTGTTGCAGGATAGGTAAATCGCCGAGGAAGCTTTCAGGACTTAAACAACAGGGACCTCGGATACATCTACATCAAGGGATATCAATCCCTTGTAAATCTGTACCTGAGAAGAGGCCATGCCAGCAACTACTGCAAATTTACAATATATGGTATTTGTAAATTACGTTGATTGAGCTACAAGACTGTTTTCTGCAGAGCTCACTGGCGGAGGGAAGAGGAGACTGACAGGCCATGACCCCAAGTTAACATAACTGTTGATCCCCATTTTTTTAGCATGTTTTGATATTGATGCTTTTTTTTTTTTTTCATTTTGCAAGTCCCTTAGATTTTACTGTTAAAAAATATAAAGTATTTTTAATTGAATCTCATCTCTAATAAAACAATTACTTGTCTTTAAATTAACACCATATTTCTATATTTACCTTTATTTAATAGGGTGTTTTACTCTAAAATAAATATAAAGTGATTGCACTTTTTTAAAAAACACAATAATTATACCTTGAAACACTAAAAATTCTCCATATTTTTTTAACATTTAATATTTTAAAAAATGCTGTACATTTTTTAATAGAGGGAACATCTATCTGTACCATTAGTCCCCATATTTTTTAATAAAGACTTAACAATGACTAATGTGTATGTAAACTAAATGCTAACTTGTTCAAATTATGGAGTTGTATAAAAAATAAATAGAATACCAAGGAAAAAAAAACAAGTAGACATTAAATCAAAATCCTTATCCATAAAATGGATGAAGTTTCAGGAAAAACAAGTAGCTATTTTGCTTATGAATGTTCGTCTTACCATAATTTTACCAACTTAGCAACACAATTAACAGATTAGCCCTTCAGTGATAATAAGGACTAACATTGTAGATAAATTAAATTTAAAGAACTTGAAGCAATGAAAAAAAAAAAAGTACAGGATTAATACCAAAACATCAGGGGCTTATATTTTCCCATTTTTGTATCATAGACTTGTTATATATTTTCAGGCCCCATATTGACAATCTCAGCCTCTCATAATTAAATCTTGAGTAGTGCTTCTTTATGTAATTGTACCAAAGTTCAATAAGCAAGTTAATTATTGCTAGGTTCTAACAGCTAGAAAAACAAGACATCATAATCTAAACTCAGTAAACGTTATATGACATTCATTCTTGCATGAAGTCTCACGCATGAGCAAATTTTATCTTTCAAAATTGCAGAAGAAGAAAACTAAGTAGCATAATGTCATAGTTAATTAATCCATCAAGCGTACAAATCAAATTCAGAAAGATGATCCTTACTCCGACCGAACTTCAAAGGAAGTTCATCACCTTTTATATAACTTAAACTTAGGTCCAAGCCAGGTAAGACATCTCTTTGCACTAAACCCTTCACCAGAGACACCACAGACGCATCAAATTCAGGCCAAGAAACGCATAGAACTCCTCTAATATTCAGAATCTGGCATCGCCCCAGAAGCGCAGCACTCAATCCATCGACGACGCTCCCAGAGGGATAATACTCCAAACCCTTTAACAATTTCTCATCAACCCCCTTTTTCCTCTCCGCCGCAGTCTCCAGCTTAAAAGCAAACGCCTCGTCTGACGACAACCGACCGCGATAGTTCTGGATCCGAATTGAATCCAAAATTAAAACCCTTTTAGGCGCAACCCGATCACCAACCAGAAGCTTTGCCACAGAATGAGACCGCTCGGGGGAGACAGCACACTGAACGGAGACAACAACAGCATCATGAGAATCGAGAGAGTAAATGTTGCAGGTGGTATCGGTGAGAGAGGGATCAACAGACTTGCCGGAGAGAGGGATCTCAGGGAGGATGAGGGATCCAATTAGGGTTTTATGGGGGAGCGAGTGGAAGAGATAGAGGGAAGGGGAAGAGAGAAGAATGATGAGGAGGGAAGGTCGGAGGGATTGAAGGTGAGGGTCAGAGAACAAGAGAAATGGAGAAGGAAGGGAAGGTGATGGAGGAGTGAAATTGTTGAGATCTTCTTCGAAGAATCTGGAAGGAGGAGGAGCTTCTGTAATAACATCTTCCATTTTCGGATCTTTCTTTCTTCCTCTTCTTCTTCTTCTACAGTAGCTGAGCTTGCTGCAGCAGGTCGAGGGCAATAAACGTGGAAGGCGCGATGATTTTTTTTTTTTTTTTCTGGGCCGGAAAAAGAAAGAGAGAGAATTTAAAAGTACTTTTTCTTGAGGGACAAGTTGGGTCGGCCCAAGTCATCTCGGTTGGTTCAAGGGAAGTCGGATGGGGCAACAAATTTGATAAACTTACTTAACCAGTTCAAGTGGTTTATTTTAATTTTCAACCCCCATAATTTTTTTTTACTAAGTTGCTCCCTATAGTTTATGAACATTTAATTTCAAAGTTAGTCCATATACTATCAACCATTTTAATGTTAACTCTAGAAGAACTGGTAAATGAGTTGTGCTATTTTAATCAAATATTTCAAATTTGAACCCTAAAAATACAATATTATTAGTGGTTAGAGTTTTTGCCCCAAAAAATCTTGACTTTAATTAATCAGTCATGATTGGTTTAAGTCCTTGTTAATCATTGTTTTAAAAATTGAACCAAATAATCGGACAAATTTAATTGTCGATCCATTAATAACTTGGTTTGGGCAAAAAAAAATCATTTAAACAATAAAAATCAAGACAACATCTGGTCCAAGTCCAATTTTTAAATCATACTATTAACTCTCGTCAACTAAATGTGGGAAAAGATTCAATATAATGGGTGATGATTCACACAAAAGCTCATAGTTGGCTTAACACCATAAAAAAAAATCTAATATATAAATAAGCTCTAGAAGTGCATACTTGGCTATTTAACAACATCAAGAAATATCTGATGTGATAATGAACTATATGGAGCAACCATATGGGTTAATTAAAAATGTTGACTCAGAAGCATATATATATTTCAGCCGATTTTGTTCATTGAAGGTGTGTGGAATTGAAGTAATGCATTCCACTCTTCTGGGTTTTACAGTGAAACGCTTCCTTGGATCTCCAAGTCAATTTAATGGTCCTGATAGGATTTGTTAGAGACTTTGGTATGATGAAAATTTGTCCATTAAATCTGATTATAAAAGCTTAGAAGAACAGGATAGTCATTATTCAAAGGCAACATCTCTAATGGAACAAGATTTGGTGTTGGGCGACTGATGACAAAATCAAATGTTTTCTCTGGAGGATGGCTAATCATAAGCTACGAACGAACAACACTGTTTGATCACCAAGAGCTTTTATGATAGACTTTACTTGTCTGTTTGGTTATGGTGTCTCAAAAGCTCCTTCCATGTTGTTTGGGACAGTAATCAAGATCCGGAGGCGTAGGAAAAATTTTAAATCATTTGTTATTTTACGTTTTCTTTACATTATTATTTAATAGGGTTAAATTCAAGCATTATCCAGCTGAAATAATTCTCTTAAAAATATTTTCTATATTCATACGTATCCAAACTCGAAAATTTTTACCAATACTTGTTATTTTGTTACGTACATTTTTTGAACCAAACAGTCTTCGCTCTCAAAATCATGATGTGGGGCCTCCTCTCAATATTTGAGTCGAGACTTGTTGCAAGGCGCAAGATTGGCTTTTAACAATAATGGTCATTATCATTAACATATTTTTTTTATATAATAAAAGTTTAGGTGAGTCTAATATATTAGGATTAATTAAATAAGAGTGTATCTTCTAACTCAAAAAACACTTACATATATACTTATAAATCATCTATCAATAAGATTTTTATATTAATAATAGAATTTAAACTCACGACCTTATGAATTATGAGCCGAATTATTACTAACTAGTTCAACCTTTGTTGTTGTTTTTTTTTATACTAAAAAAGAGAGGATATATTGCAATTGTTGAAACCATAAGGCATAGGCAAAGGCATCAGATAATACTATTATAGAACAAAAATAACAAAGTTAACCAATCCCTCACGATCATGATCAGATGCTGAATTTTGCAGTTCGCTTTGAAAAGCTCTGAAATCTCTATCCAAAATGACAGTGAGAGAGGGTGAAGGTTCTAAGACCCAACCCTAAGGTTCCACTCTCTTTGATGCGAAGGGCTGCAAGAAAGTCTGCAGCAAAATTTCCTGAATGCTTGACTAGAGAAAAACGTGTGTAGGGATGAGATTTAGAGCTTTTCAAAAGATCATCCATTAAACTTTGATAGGTCCATCTATGGACCTGTGAACCCACTAAATACTGCAACATCCTTGCTTTCCCAGTGTAGAGGTTAAAGTGGACATGAATATTATTATCATTATGAAATAAATTTTCTTTTCTTTTCTTTTCTTTCTTTCTTTCTCTATTTATTTATTTTTTCTTTCCATTTTCCCTTGTCCCAGTTTCTTTCTTTCAATTAGAAAGATAGTATATAGTAATGGTTTAAAGACACAAGCAGATCAAATTCGCAACCATTCACTTTCAGCAGAGATTCTGTGCCACAAGGTTATAAAAACAAAGCATTAACGTTGAAAAGGTGAGTTACATATTTGATGCCTCAATCATCACCTAGATTCCACCTAGGGGAAGAAGTGGAAGGTTCCAAAGGATGAAAGAATGCACTGATGAAAACTCAGCCCAAAAGTCTTCAGATAGATTACTTTACAGTAAAGCATGGTTTGAGAGAATTAGTCAGCAACGTGTCAACAACATATTGGAACGGGGCTGAGGGATTGGATGCTTGTGATCCTAACTTTCCTCATGTGTCAACAACCTATTGTCTTTTGTTTATTTATTTATTCCAAATTTTGTGCGATCGATATGATCAGAATCTTTCTTTGGAATTTTCAGTTTTCATTATTTTATCGAGTAAAGGACAATAGCGGTTCTTGCTCTGAAATTTCTTTTGCCAATCGTTTTTGCAAGTTAAGTTGGTTATCCTGTCGATTTGTCCGCTCAACTGAAACTCACACTTATCGGCAATGCTCTTGTGACTAGCCCCAGGTTGATAGCCCTGCAAGTTGGTCAGAACTCAGAAGTCATTCACTCAATGACTGACAATCTAGGTGGGTATTGATTCAACTGTAGACTGGCTCTCTTTCAGCGCTTTTCCTTATTCGAAAAACAAATGAAAGTCGACCAAAAAAAAAAAAGGTTTAAAGTCATGTACTGATAGTCCTTTTTCGTATACGTTTTTTAGGGAAAGTTTCAATGAAAAACGCTTGACCAAATATAATAAAAAAAATTAAAATTTTGAAAATTTTACTGCAAGATTCGATATTAAATTAAAATTAAATCTATGATAAAAATAATAAAATTACTTTCATTTAAATGAAAAACATACTTCATGTAAGATAATTTGTTCGTTCATATATTGTATGTCATTTATTTATTTATGGAATATTATTGTTTCCAAACTTCACTTGTTTATAATTCAATTTTCACTTGATTTCATTCTAAGGACTATAAATAATTGAAGTCGGGAAACAAATAATATTTTATAAGTAAATGAACAATAAATAGTATAAGAATGAATAAGTTATTTTATCATGAAACTAACACTTGAAATAAAATCAAGTTAAATTAAAGTTAAAAACAAGCAGCATTAGGTAATTAACAATATTTCGTAAGTAATGAACAAGTTGTCTTAACTACAATACGTTATTCATTTAAATGAGAGTAATTTTATTATTTCTATTACAAATTTAATTTTAATTAAGTATTGAGTCTCATAGTAAAATTTTAAAAATTTTAAAGTTTTTTTTAATATGTTCGATCAAGGTCTCCATTTAAATTTTTTCTTTTTTCTAATATATATGTATATATATTGTAAATGTGTGTTTGGTTGGAAAATTTTAAAAGGAAAGCCCCTACTTTTGTTTGGTTTAAAATTTTTGAAAGGGATCCCCTTGTATTGAGGGAAGTTAAAAATTTTTGATTATATTGCCCTTGGTTTTTTAATGATATTTCATAAATACCCCTATGTTTTTTTTTTTTTTAATTCTCTTCCAACATGTGACTGGTTCTCACTTTTAGCCATCACAGCTAAACTCATAAAAAATGATTGTCGTCGCCACTCAGCAAGCCACCTATGAAACAACCACAACCTTCCCTTTTGTACCTTCCCCTTACTAAACCCACCTTATTATTGTCATTCATCGCCCAACTGGATCTCCGTCCTCGTAGCAACAGCTATTTGTGGGTCTTCTTATTGCAACAAATCAATCGACCCCTAAGGCAAGCTTATTCCCTTATTTCTTTGTTTCATTTGCTTAACAATATAAAAATAATATTTAATCAATATCAATATATACTAATTAATATAAAATTTATTAATAATGCACAACATTTAAAAATTATAATTTAATTAAGGTGAAAAAATATTTTATATGAGGAATAATTTTTAAAAAATTAGCTAATATATAGGGATATACTAGTAAATTATTTATTATCTCTTCTACTCTTACACACTAAATAAGGTATCATTAAAACCCTTCCCTCCATCCTCTCCCTTGCCGTTAACCAAACACAATTTAAATGAAAGTTTAGGTGAGCTGAGTCTGATAAACTCATAAGGACTAAAACATACCTCCAAACTTACATATTGTCCACCAACAAAGTCATCACATTCAAAATAAGATTTAATCCTATGATTTTATGAATTATAGACTAAATCTTTATCAACTGGACCAATCTTTATTGGTTAATATATTTTCTTCATATACCAAATTATATTTGTGAATTGTGACTGAGGCCCAACTGATATAAAATAAATTTAACAGGCAAAAAAAAATTAAATTTAACTATATAATGAACCATATTTAAAATTTTAAATGTTCTTCACGATTTGTTTAGTTCATTGATGATTATCCTGTGTACAACCTTGCTCTATGAAACCATCGCAGTATCATTTTATGGGCAAACAAAGACTATCATTATATCATTAGTCACTGATGAATCCGGCAAATTCCATTATGATAGTGGCACAATAACCAGGAATGGCTTGTATCTGTTTGAATATCAAGCAACAAAGATGAACCAATTGGCTTGCCAAATGTTTTCCTTTCCATCAAGAATTGAAACTTAAAACAACCTCAGCATTAAGTTCGATCACTCTGCCAGAAAGTAATTTCTTGCACCCAAGTCTAAGAATTTTCCTCCCCATAAATCAA